CTTCTCTTGACGTGTGCGAATGATCTACCATATATGCTTCCATTTACAAAAATATGTGCTTATCATAGTGCAATTAAGACTTCTTTTTTTTTGGCTATTGAAAAAATGGGTGTCTAGGGACCACCCCGATAGACCCTCACTGGTAGAACTATGAAGTGCCTGACTGCATCCATTATTCCTCTTGAAAACGAACCTAATTAGACTAACATAACAATCAACTACTGAGTCTCAATGTGAATTCCAATATTCAAACATCTAACCTCAACGTTAAAAATTCGGCCGGTACGCCACTGAACCACACCACTTGGTGGTGTGCAATTAAGACTTCAATATGTGTGTATGATACATATTTTAAATACAACCTCAATGATAGCTTAAGTGATAACAAGGACGAGTTATGAACTCAGATATCTTGAGTTCAAATTTTAACAATTTTTTAAGTTAGGTCATAAGGTATTTATCCCTTATGAATACCTTAGTCTCAATGTCAATTTATCCTCATAACCTGCCTTTGACTGGATCAATAAAGAAATTAGTTGAGGTGTGTGTAAATTAGTACAAATACTTTTAATCGTTATATTAGAAAAGAATGAGGCCAACCCAGTCATCAAAAAGGACTCACTCCTAACCCAGGGTAGGTTGGCCCACTAAAAGAAAAAGCCCATAAGGCACTCCAGACAATCTAGTGAATTTGAAAGGGGATTCAAAAAAATAAAAAACCTGTAACTACCTTCTTCTTTAAATAATTCAAACGGGTGAGGTAGAGATTTCTTTAGAATTGATTAGCCTAACTTTTCAGTTTGATATCCCACTTACTTTCTTCGTGTTCTTGATAACTTTATCACTCTCACACTCACACTCACACTTAGCTCAGTCATACTCCAGCCTCTTTATCTCATACTTCTCAGTTTTTTACATCATCATTAACATATTCGTTTTTCAATATAATGCGATTAAAAAAAATTGTAATTGAGTTAAAGGAACAAATAAAAATGTATCAACAACAACTTATTTAATACAGAACAACTTAAAATATTTATATCAATCCATTATGCACCTATGCATCTAGCATGGCATATGTCAATACCATAATTGTCCTCAATTGCAGCTAGGTGAACTACGAATCTAGTAACGAGAAGAAATTACATTTAAACCTCTAAGAACATCTCTAATTCTTACTTTTTTTAAACTCAATTTTAAATATAGGTAAAAAAATTCTAAAAAACATTCTCCAATATGAGATTCATGCCCATATCAAATCAAGAGAGACTTATCAAATCAAGGGGACTCAAATTCATATCCAAATCTTTGGTGATGAGAGTTCATCCTCATTTAAATATCCAATATCCATATTTAACCTTCTTTTGAATTTTAGTTTGTCCTCAATTAAAGTTGGATTTCTCTTCCTTTAAATTTGAGTTTCTTCATTTGAGAGGTCTATACTAAATCAAGTTTTTTATCATTTTTTTTACTCAAATTTGAATAAAAAAATTGGTTTCCATTGGAGATAGTCTAAACTATACCCCTTGCATCGCATTACCCCCATCAAATTTCTAAAACTATACCTTAAACTATTATTATTAGTTTTCACATTGACACAATTGCAAACATTTGATATACTAGCAATGCATAATGTGCGTTGCACGTAAATAAATTTAAGTAATATGAATTATATATGTAATTAAATTAAGTAATAAATTAAAAGTCAAATAATTAATTTATATTTTAATTGTTACAAAATTTAATTATTAATTTATTCTATAAAACTTTGAGTACGTAATCTATCATTTATTTAGGTATCTCTCCGACCCTTTTAGGCATTTGGACAGTAATTATATTATATAATTATTAATTTTTATTTTTTTAAAAATAGATTGATTAAATTGCTTATAAAATATTATATTATTGCATACCAAAAAATAAAAAATAATATATATTTGACCATAGAATTCAATCTGATTACTATATTTGTATAATAATTTAACATATATGTATGATTTTAATTCTTCATATAGATATAGAAAATTGTATAAAACTATATAACTAATAAATGAATTGAAAAGAATTTAGAAGTTCTTACACAAAAGTGCAAAATAAGTTGAACATCAAATATAGGAGTAAAAACCAAAATTAGATGAAATTATATATATTATTGGGTATAATTGACTTTATTATAATAATTAGGGTCAAAATAGAAAATCAAAAGTTTTTCATTTACTTCTCTATATCTATACTAGTAATAACTAGTGTCTAAAGGCACTTCGCAATCTAAACACCCACCATTTTAAAATAGTTTTTGTGTCATTTGCTTTAATTAAAGAAATTGAAATCAATCGAGTCCCGCCATTTTTTTAATACATTTCGTCAGACTTTTTGCTAAAATAAAAACTCAAAAAAATCGCAACCTATATACAAAACTTATATATCTCATTGTATATATCATTATCCAAAAATATGAACATAGAAACGAATGTCCTTGAAAAATAATTTTTTAAAGGCATAAAGATATATTGACCATATTTTACAAAAAAAAAAATTCAATCACCATTGCCAACCTCAAGAATCATGTTATGGTTAAACATAACTCACTACCACAAATGCCACCAACTTTACATATTCAATCTGCCGACAAATAGAACCAGAAATCGGATGTAGCCAATATTTAATAGAATTGTAATTTACAATTTTGTGAGTTTTTCAATCCACTATCATATGAAACCAACCAAAAGACATTGTCTATGCAAAATAGAGAATAATTCATGTACCAACCTCATATCAAAACATATTTGGAGCACGTGAGTGAGGACTATGTATCCTGTGAAGATATCAACAAAGAACTTGGTTGACAGATTTTTTGTTATACCACACATAAATACCAACAACCAACCAAACATTAAAAACATAATGAATTGCAACAAAATAGAAAATGAAATAATCTCACTTTATATGATAAAAAGTAAGAAATAAACCTTTAATTGGTGGGCATCTTTTATAAGTATTGCTTTCTCGTTATCTTAACTTGTAAAAGGTGTATGTACAAAGACAAAGCAAGAGAGAAATTTAAAATATTATTTTGGATGGAGCAAGATAAAAAATGAATGACCAATAATTACAAACATAATGCATCACATCTTGTACGGATGCATAAATGCCAAAATCAACAAAAAATATAGTTTTTTACTCAGTTAACCTCAATCGGACATATGGAAGTAAAAATAAAATCAACATACTTATTAAATTTCAAGAAAAACCTATTCTAATTGAACATAGATAACGCCAATCACCCTAAAAGTTTGGCTTAGACTCTCTAATTATTTGCAGTGGCACTTTCGGACAAATTTAATTTGTGACTAAGACAATTTTCATGATTGCATTCAACATCCAGAAGTGACTACACTAATATAGCCTTCTTATTAGTCGCATTCACTCTTCATGAACCATATAAAAAATTTTGCACTCCCTCATGAAATCCAAGACTTTCAACTTGACTTTTGACCAAAATTTTTTGTCAAAACCCATATACTTTTTAAATCAAATAAGCAAAATTACAAGCTTCTCATTCAAACAATACCACACCATTGAATCACATTCAATCCTATGGTGAATAACGACTTAATTATGTTAACAATTACACATAGTACTTCTAAAAAAAATTAGTGAAAAAATAAAGAAAAAAAAGGAAATCAACTCAAACCTTTATTTCCTTCTCAAGAATTTCTTCTTGAGCATTGTACCATTTAAAAGCAAGTGGGTTCTTGCTAGAAGCACCCTAAACATATAAAAGAAACAATAAGTTCTCAACTATTCTATTCGTAAATCCAAGAAACACTAAAGCATGAGTTCAGTCCCTTAGATATTCCAACTCTGCAATCTGAGAAATACTCAAATAAAGTTTTGTCCCTTAGATACTGAAACTTAAAGCTACTAGGACTGTAAATGCTTAATAGTAAATGTTGCTACGAAGGGCCTTTCTTGTCACATCTAAGAACTCAAATGAAGTTGGTTACTCTATTTGGTGAATGATAAATCATGGCATACTAAAGGAAACAATGAATAGAATAATGAAGTGAAATCAAGTTCTCATACATCATTATCCGAAGACTAAAATTAACAACTTATGGAACCAACCCATAGAATTGTCCTAAGGCAATCCAATAGTTAATATGACATATGAGCATTGTCCTAATGAACCATCGAGAGAACATAAAATAGTTTCATACCTTTTGTATAAGTGGAAATACATACCATTGTTAGTTATCCCTCATTCTTTGGATGGTTAAGATAGACAACTTCAAATAATGACAATATGTCAGCTAGTTGGTGGTTGGTTTAGATTTGGTTTTGTCAGGCATTTCAACGTATACTTGATGTGCATTATCAAGGAAATATGTGGGGGTAGCAGCCGGTTGTTTGGCGGTGGTAGTGATGAACTTGAGGCTGTGTTGGTGTATGTGGGGTGGCTACGACCTAGTTTAGAAAGTTGTGGGGTGGGTTTGCGGAGTCTATGGTGGGGATCGGTTCAATAGTGGACAGTGGATAGTATTTAAGAAACTCCGACCAATAAGATAAACAAATGAAATAATTCATGAAAATGCAACATAAAGTTTGTGTCCGTAGAGAGAGAATCCAAACTTTTGATTGTCCACAGAACAAACTCACAATTCTCCTGATAGTGATTCCAAAACTAAACTTTAAATACAACACATTCTCAAGAAACTCTGACCAATCAATTCTATTCCCAGAGGAAGTTGACACAGTAGAGTTCTAGTTAGAGATTCCACAATTGGAGCCAAAATCAACACAAATTCATTGAAAGAAAATAGATTCGATATCAAAGAAGATTGCTACAATTTAAACAAATAGGAATTAAAAACCCTAAAATCTCCAAACATTGGTACTACCTGGCCATAAACCTAAAATTTACAACCAAATCTTCCATCAACTGAATTGATCCTGACCCCTAAACAAACGATATCACATATAAACAAAAACTTTGAGAGATGCGTGGAGAGGGAGGTATACTAGGTCGACTATGGATCACAGTGCTTGTTAGCATTGCGATGTTATTGGTGATGAATGATTGCATCGCAGTATCTATTGGGTGGCAGGATAGCGGTGGCTGCTTCATTCAGGTTGCTATTGGTGGCACCGGCAGCGATTATAAGAGATGGAAAATAAGAGAGAAAAAAGATGGGAAGAGGAAAGAGAAGTTGCATTTAAGTTGGAGAAGGGAGACTGGGATAAGAGAAAGAAGAGAGATATCAGGAGACATAAACACTAAGAAAAGAGCTAAGAGAGATAACAGAAGTATGAGGTATAAAAAAAGTATAGACCGTAGACTAGTCACTATAATGGATGAGGAGATTGTGATTTTGGGGAAAAAGGCAAACTGTGTGTTTACGGTAAAGTATTGTCAATAAAGTTTTATAACAAGACAACTTTCAAAACTACAATGAAGAGGGTATGGAATAATATCAAAGTGAAAGTTATAGAGGCTGGTGACAATCTATTTCTCATTCAATTCAGTAATACGTTGGATAAGAATAGAGTCCGAAAAGGTGAGCCATGATCCTTTGATTACCAATTAGTTTTGTTGAAGGATTATGATGGTTCGATTTAGGTGTCAAATGTATTGTTTAGCGGGTGTCCATTCTGGATTCAAATCTATAATTTGTCATTCAATAAAATAAATCAAGAAACTGCGACAATTATAGGCAATAAGATTGGATACTATTTGGAAACGGATTTGAGAAACAGAGTAAGATGGGGGAGATATTTAAGAGTTTGGGTGAACATTAGTATTGAAAAACCTCTCCTTAGAAGAATGAATCTTAATGGGTTAGGAGGCTCAAATGTAACGGTGTTTTTCAAGTATGAAAGGTTGCCTCATATTTGTTACCATTGTGGACGATTTGACCACAGGGAAAGAGAATGTCAGCAAAGATTGGATTCATCAAACTTAGTTAGGGATGGGTCAATGAAGTATGGGGCTTGGTTGAGGGCTCCACTGGGTGGAGGGTTGAAGAATGTAGTAGGTCTGAACGCCAGTGTGAACAAACTGCCGACGGTGGAGAAAAGTGAAATTTCTCCGGCTAGCGAGCAAGATTCACCGAAGAAGATTTACCAAAATGAGGCAGCGGTGATCGAGCAGAGTTTCATGGGTGTGACTGGCCCAATCTCCGGAGATGGAGGAATATCCAATTCAAAGAGTAAAACTAGGGGCGCAAGATTTGGAAGGAGAAAAGTTAGGGAATTTAATTGAGCCTTTAATTAACAGAAATTTTTTTTTGGATATAGATAGTGTGACAATTGAAGATGGCAAGCTTAAGAAAGTTGAAGATGCAATGTCAGTCATGGAAGGTATTTCAACAGCAATAATCATGGATAATAATCAAAAGGAAAGGAATGGAGTCTTAGAGAGAAACTAGTTGTTAATGTGGGTCCTAAAGTGGTGAAAGAATTGGGTGGACCCGCAGATAAATGACGTAGTCAATCTATATCAACCAGTAATATGGAGGCTCAATGGGTCGTGGAAGACTTTATGGATATTCACATTTCTTCCATAGCCCAAACTATTTGCCTACCTAAATTGGGGGATTTAGTCTTTGACGAAGGAAGGGTGCTCAGTCAAAATCCAACAGCTACGAAGAAATGGAGAAGCAAGGATAAGGGTTCTACAACATCTAGCCAAACAAAATATCAGGAGGATCCCAATGGCAAATAGAAGTATAGAGGAGGAAAGGAAGATTTGGGTACAAGTATGGAAGTGGGTGCAAAGAAAAAAACTAAGGTAAGTGAAGGTTTAAGGCTTTCAATTCCAGTAGAAATTGCAAATGTAACAGTGGGAACTGGTCTCCAGTCCCACTAATCGTCGTGAAAATCCTTAGTTGGAATTGTCGGGGACTTGGGCATTCTCAGATAGTTCAAGATTTACACGATTTCATAAAGAAAGAGCAGCCCAATTTTGTCTTCCTTTTGGAGACGAAATGTAATGCTAGGAGAATTAATTTTTTGAAAATGATGTTTGGCTTGTGTGGAGTGGTTGTAGAGTCGCAAGGAAATTCAGGTGGTTTAGCGTTGTTGTGGCAGAAAGATATGGATGTGCCATTGCAGAGTTGTTCCCGTGGGCACATCGACATTATGATTAATGAGAGGGGTGAACAGGGGTTGTGGAGGTTTTCGGGAATTTATGGGGAACCAGAGACATCAAAGCGTAGTGATACTTGGGCATTGTTGGCTCATTTGAGAAATCGAAATGAACTGTTGTGGCTATGTGCTGGGACTTCAATGAAATAGTTTCACAAAATGAAATGAATGGTAGAGGAAGAAGGGCAAAATGGCAAATGTGAGATTTCCGTCAAGCTTTGAATAGTTGTGCGATGGTGGATTTGGGATATACGGGTTTCCCCTTTATTTGGTGTAACAATCGGAAGGAGCCATATACTACGTGGAAAAGACTTGACAGAGTGTGTACGAATCTAGCATGGATGACTAGATTTCCTAACTCAAGAGCTCTCATAAATTTTCAAAGGAATCAGATCATTACAAAATATTACTGGATAGTAATGTGGGGTTGCCAACTTATGAGAGGTGTCATAGAAAAAGACTGTTCCGTTTTGAAGCAACCAGGGTGAAGAAAGAGGGATATGAGAAGACTATTGAGGAGGCTTGGAATTGTGGTGAATATCTTTCAGGGGTTCTCAAGCAAAATAAAAAATTATAGAGTGGAGCTACTTAAGTGGAAACAGATTTATATGGGGCACATTCTAGTTAAGATAGAAAATTTGAAAGGTAAATTGGCAAGTTTAAAGGAAAGTGGAATAACAGAGAGTTCAATGCAACAAGCTCAAGAGGTGGTTAAGGAGTTGAATTCTTTGTCGGATATGGAGGGGATTTATTGGCGTCAACGATCGAAAATCCACTGGTTGAAGGAAGGGGATAAGAATACAACTTTTTTCCATGCCACGACATCCCAACGGCAAAGAAGGAACACAATTATCAAACAAAGAAACGGTGAAGGGGGCTGGTGTGAGAATTCAGATGATATGGAACAAGTTGCAGTAGGGTATTTTAAGAATCTATTTACTTCCAATAGACCACAAACCCAAGCGCTATAGGCCGTTTTAAGTAAGGTGGATCGCAAGGTGTCAAAGAGAATGAATTCAAGGCTCTTGCAGACTTTTCGTATTGATGAGGTAACTACAACATTATCTTAGATGTTCCCTACCAAATCACCTAGACCCAATGGTAAGCCCCCACTCTCTTTCCAAAAGTATTGGCGTATTATCGGGGTGGATGTTGCTAATTGTGTCTTGAATTTTCTCAATGGTGGTCAATTTCCAGCAAGTTTCAACCATACTAATATTGTCCTTATCCCTAAATGTAAAAATGTGGAGTCTTTACATGTGTTTCGTCCAATTAGTTTGTGTAATGTTATTTATAAAATTATTTCAAAAGTTTTAGCTAATCGTTTAAAACATATTCTTCCATCGGTCATTTCTAATTTTCAAAGTGCTTTCCTTCCTAGGCGGTTAATTACCGACAATGTTTTGGTTGCATTTGAAATTAATCATTTACTGAAGTGTAAAAGTTGGGTAAAATGGAACATGTGTCTCTAAAGCTGGATATGAGTAAAGCTTATAATAGGGTGGAATGGGTGTTCTTGGAAGAAACGATGCTCACTTTGGGCTTTGATCCTAGATGGGTTACTTTGATAATGCAATGTGTTACAACCGTCTCATATTCTATCATGTTGAATAATGATCAAAAGGGCTTTTTTCATCCTAAAAGGGGTCTTCATCAAGGAGATCCCTTGTCACCTTACTTGTTTCTTATTTGTGCAAAAGGTTTAACAACACTTCTTCGCATTGCAGAGATGAATGGTTTGATCACTGGAGTCTCGGTGAGGAGGGGAGGTCCACGTATATCCCACCTTTTGTTTGTCGATGACAATCTATTATTTTTTAATGCATCACAAGAGGAGGCTGCAGGTGTGAAGTCAATTCTTGCAATTTACGAAGCTACTTCGAGGCAAAAAATCAACTTGGAGAAGTCTGCAGTGGTCTTTAGCAGTAATATTTTGGAGGCGTAGACAAGTCAAGTCCAACAAACCTTGGGAATAGATTGTGTTCACCAACATGATAAATATTTTGGACTTTCTTACTGTGGTGGGTAAATCTAAAAAAGAGGTCTTTAGCAATTTAAAGGAAAGGGTGTGGAATAAAATGCAAGGATGGAGTGAGCAACTTTTATCTAAAGCGGGGAAGGAGGTATTAATTAAGGCGATGGTGCAATCTATTCCCACATATGCTATGAGGTGTTTCAAACTCCCAAATAATTTTTGTGAGGATTTAGAAGCACTATCGGCTAGGTTTTGGTGGGGACAAAGACAGGGGGAGAGGAAAATTCATTGGGTTAGTTGGAGTAGGATAAGTACAAGGAAGGAGAGAGGTGGAATGGACTTCAGAGATCTCAAGGTTTTCAATTTGGCGCTGCTCATGAACACAGGCATGGAGATTGAATACTGAGACTAATTCACTTATTCACCGAGTGTTTAAGGCAAGGTATTTCCCTTTGTCATCTTTTATGGAGGCAGAGCTTGGCTATAGACCACCTTATACATGGAGAAGTATTTTAGGAGCAAGAAAAGTGGTGATATCAGGTTTGAGATGGAGAATAGGTGACGGATCCAGAGTCAATATCTGGTCGGATAGGTGGATACCCACCTTTATAAGCTTCAAACCAGTTTCCCCTAGAAGGATTCTACCCTCTACAGCAAAGGTAAGAGATCTTATTAATGAGCAAACACGGAGTTGGATGGTGGATGAAATATTTTTGCCTCATGAGGCGCTTGTGATTAAAAGTATCCCACTCAGTAGAAATTCTATGGAGGATTGATTGATCTGGCATTATAACTCAAATGGGAGGTTCTCGGTACGTAGTGCATACCACATCATCATGGACCAAAAGCTAGTGCAAGTGCTCCTAAGCAGTTCATCTCCTTCTTCCAATGCTAGATATCTTGATTGGAAGTTTATTTGGAATTAGAAAATTCCAAATAAAATTAAGATCTTTGCCTAGCGGGTGTGTTCCAATGCACTACCAACAGCAGATAATCTACGGCGTAGGAGAGTCTCAAACTCACAGTACATGGGAATTATGGGGTGTGTCAAGAAGTGGAGGATTCATTGATCCATTGCCTAGGGACTACTCTTGGGCTAAAGATGTGTGGTGACTCAGCACATTAAAAATAGTTGTCTAGATTTCTGCTTCTGAGCCTAGGCAGTGGTTGCGTGATGCCCATCAAACCCTTACACCTGATAACTTTCTCAATGTTCCTTATTTAATGTTGGTTTGTATGGAGAAATAGAAACACTTGTGCCTTTGAAAACATGGTTCAAGATCCGGCTGGAGTGCAGATAAAGGCAATGGAATACCACAGGCAGTATATGGAGGCAGTAACTCAACTCAGTTTTGATCCAATGCCAAACCCCAAAATTGGGTGGTGTCTTTCGAGGGTAGGTACATTCAAGGTGAATTTCGATGACGCTGTGTTTAGAGACTTAAATGTCTTAGGATTGGGGGTAGTTATAAGAGATAACATGAGTTACTTTGTAGGAGCTTTGTCTAAAAGGATGGAAATGAGTTGTGATGTTCGTCAAGCAGAAACTTTTGCAGCAAGGATAGCAATCCAATTCGCAAAGCTGCAAGAGTTGCCAAAAGTTATATTGGAAGGGGATTCTTCAGACGTCATGTGAGCTATTGGGGTTCGTGTGGTGGATCTTGATGCTCTCAATGCCATTTTGCAGGACATTAATAGCATAACGAGTAGCTCTCGTTTTTTTGAAGTGTTCGAGGTACGCAACAATGGAAATAGAGTAGCTCATGAATTAGCTCGTTTTATTCTACCATTAAATAATTGTGCTATATGATTGGAGCAAGCACCAGACTTTGTTATGCATCTCCTTTTTTTTGATATTCCTCAATAATATAATTTTATCATTGCAACTCAAAAAAAAGAAAAAAAAAAGTGTAGACCATAGAGTCTTGTGATGAGATGCAAGATTTGAATTGCTAAATATGGATTGTAGAGAGAGAATCTGTATGAGAGAGATAGAGACGTATGAGAGATAGGAGTGTAAAGTCTTACTATGAGAGGCTTTTTCATAGGCGGAAAAAAAAATTCAGGACTAATTTTGAAATGATCTGATAATTAAAAAAGAAAATGTTGTTAGGCGCAAAAACAAAATTTAGTACTCACTGTAGATCGCTAGATCAAAATTTTTGAGATGATCTGAACCGTCTTTTATGTGTTGGATTACGTTGTCCATTAGATGTGTTTATGTTTTGTGTCAAAACGATCTGGATCTCTTTTTGTCTCTAAAATTCAAACTTAGCTCTACTTTATTATATAGATGAAAAATTGTATATAACTGTACTACTAATAAATGAGTTCAAAAAAATTTAGAAGTCCTTATAAGAGAGTCCAAAACAAGTTAAAAGTCAAATAGGAGTACAAAACAAAAATTAGATTAGTGGGTATAATTGATTTTATAATAATAATTAGGAATAAAATAAAAAATAAAATTTTTTTCGCAGATACTGACATTTATAAGTAGTATTATAAATATAGATTTTGGACAAAAGAGGGTTTCACATTACCTTGAACTATAATTTGTCTTGCCTTGCTCGAAAGATCGATGACACAACGTGATATTCGTCCAAATTTAAGGGGCAAAATATAATTTTTCTTATTTATAAGTTACCTAAAGATTAGCTGGGTTAGGTGCTCGTCTGTTCAAAGCCTTTTGGGAGGGCTTAAGCAGGCATCAAGAATATAAACAAGTCGCTTTGATAATTCAAGTTTGTATTGTTTTTTTTAATAAAACTTTCATGAGATTACATATCGTTAGAATAAGTGACTCATATTTAATATTAGTCATAACTCGTGCCTAAATGCACGATAAAATATAAAATTTGAGCGTTTAAAAAATCAATTCCACCATATTAAATTTTTTCAAAATATTTTAACTATAAATTAATTAAATATAAAATAATTAAATATATGATAGAATGAGTGGTGTGATATTTTTAAGGAGAAAATATATAAATAAATAAATATGTGATAGAAATGAGTGATGTGATTTGACGTTTGAGTATGACAAAAGGATGATAGGTAAGGTAAGTGATTGGTGATGATTTTGAGGGAAAAAATATGACTGACATAAAATTCAAACACACTCGTGTTTTATTATATAGATATGAAAAGGTTCACCAAGTTCAAATATAATAGGCCAATTGTCAGAACGCAGCGAATTCGAATTACTATCGGATCAAAAATAGGCGGGGGGTGTGGGGGGCTATGCCCCCGTGATATGAAGTAGGAGAATGGCATGTGCCTTCGGCATTTGTCCAAATTAGAATTGTAACCTTATTTCAGTGTGGAATAAAAACAAGACAATCGCTCTCTCGTGGACCTAGATAAATTGTCAAATCACATAAAATTCTTGTGTTCATATTCTAATTTTTTGTTTCTTTGATTGTTCAACACACACAAATTACAACACATATTGTCTTAGAAATAGGACTTGTTGGTATGTTTTTATAATAATTAAACTACTTTTTGGTGTACAAGCATGAATATGAACTAGTATTTCATGACTCAATTTTAATCAAATTTAAGTAAAAAAAATTAATTTGATACAAAAAATTTCAACGGACAAACTCAAATTTTTCTGCAAAATCTTTTAAAAATTCTCCTAGCATTCCAATGTTCAATTTTTTTCCCAAAACTTTTTTTACTCTCTTTTCTCTACTTATTTTCCTCTAAACCTCTTTTCATCGTAATTATGCTTTCACTTTCAAATATTTTTCCTTCTCTATTTTCATCATATTTGACCTCTTTCCCAAATTACATTTCAGTAAAAAATTCTTATAAAAAACTAATAAGATTTACTTTTTCTATTTGGTGGTGTAATATTTTTTTCATAAAATTCTAACATTATGTGGCCATTGATTGATAAAACTTAGAGGTGACAATCTTAACCCATTACCTATTAATTCGTCCAACTCGCCCATAAATAAATGAGTTGAATACCTATATTAATTAATATGGGTTCTAAATGAGCTGGGTAATATGATTCATTTTAATTAAGCGAATTAATATGAATTATAAATGGGTACCCACTGAGTTGAGTATTTATCTTTTATTAAATAACACAAGTAATAAAATAAATAAATATATTAATATACCAAAAAATTCACGCACACTATTACACTAAAAAATACACATATGTATTAATACACCAAAATATACACATATTAGTACACTACAAACACACACACTAATAAACTACCCATAACCCATGGGTCGACTGTGACCCACAACTCATTACCCATAGGTCGGCCCCGTGATCCATGAGTCGACTCGTGACTCACAACCCATGGGTTAACCCACAACCCATGATCCATGGGGTGACCCATGATCCATGGGTCGACCATGATCCACGACCCACAGACCAACACATAGCCCACAATCGACCCCGACCTATTATGTGTGCATTTTTTTTTATATTAAATGTGTTTTAGTTTTTGTGTTAGTATATGTGTGTGTATTTTGGGGTATTAGTGTGTATATTTTTAGTGTATTAGTTTGTGTGTGTTTTGATGTATTAGTATGTATATGTTTGTATTTTGGTGTACAACTAATATGTGTGTGTTGGTGTATTAATGTGTCTAGTAAGAATTTTAATTATTTTATAGGTTAATGGGATTAACCCAATCCGTTATAAATCTAACCCATTTATTACCTGAGTGAAAAATGAATTTGATTTATTTTAGCCCAATCTAATTTAATCCAACCTATAACCAACCCAACCCAACCCACCCCATTTGTCACCTCTAATAAAACTATAGAGAAATAATTCAACCTAAAATTTGAGCATTAGAATCATCATTTTTTAAGATTTATTAATAAGATTGATATAAAATAACAAATATATAAAAGAATGTAAAGCGTCACTGACGAATACTTAAAAAAGAGTAAAATATGATTATTAAAAATTTAAATTCTAAAATTTGAGTAAAACTTTAATTCTTCCTTCACATAGTATCATTTTGAGTAAAATTGTGAAAAATCATGTTTTGTAACTTTGTACAAGTTCAAAAAAAATAATGTCTTACTGCTTGAAAGAAAAAAAAAAAAAACCTTAGATCATAATGTATGTTAGAGCATCTCCAACCGACATGTCAAATGCTAGTTATGGCATCCAACCGATCGTTTTGGCCGTTCTTCATTCTTCAACCGGCATGCCAATTGCTGCGTTGACAAAATAAATTTACCATGTTGTCAAATTTAATGTATTTCAATTGAAATTGATATGTCAAACCTTTTTAATATAATATTTTATGGAGTTAATGAGTGTTTAATGTAAAATTTTTGCAATAAAATTTAAATTTAAAAATAAAAGTCTAATAAAATAAATTATTTTAATCTATCGATTAAAATACAATGCGAAAATATTAATACTATATATCAAATTACCACAAAATTTTTTAGATAGGCTCTAACTTCCAAAACCCTTTAACCCCTGCAACCCCACGCTCACACTTGCCTGTTGTTGAAAAGGAAGATCTCAAAAATGGCCTCTCGGCTTCTATGTTCCAAAAATCTCACTTTTCCATTTCGCACGCCCAGAGGTGATATCGCTCTCTCTCTCTCTCTCTCTCTCACACACACACACAGAGTACTGTCACCATTTCTGTATCTCTAACCACCGAAGTTTTATGTAGTGAGCTCTTTCGAACGCTCAAATCATCCGCCTCCAGCTTTCTTCTCCACACACATTATCGGGGACACCCCAATTCTCGTAACTCTCTCTCTCCCAATTGTGTGTGTGTGTGTGTGTGTGTAGGTTTCTACATACATATCAGCTTCTGTTATTCAAATGCTGGTAACTTTGAAAAAATTGCTCCTTTTAAATGGGCAGGTTCGGGATTTTATACGGTGGGCATTGTATGATGCGAAGCATGGCTATTTCTTTCAAAGATCAGAGTCCGTTGGAGTGCTTGACAAAAGCATCAAGTTCAATCAGCTCCAAGGTATTGATGCTCGCCTTTGTTGAACTGTCTTTTCATTTTTTTATTGGATAAACAATAATGTGTATTGTGTAAAATAAATGAATAATATAGCTATCTCAGCATTTGAATCTACCTATTTTTCGTGTTTATGGGAATTTATGTTGTGTTTGGCAGACTGGAATTGAGGTTTTGTAATTGGAGTCCTAGTTAATTTATTTAAAGATTTGAACTATTTTTTTTTCCAAATTACAATTTTTTTTTCTTCTGGCCCAATGGTATCTCAAACACTGCAATTTCATATAGCCAAACACCATATTAGTTTAGTTGAAGTGATTTGAATCATGTTTAATGATAGAGAGTACAAGGGTGTGCTACAAACAAGATGGACCATAAGAAGGGAGGTACAATGGAAGGCATGAGAGTTGTTTTTGAAGGAGAGGCAAGACACTCAGGCAGGATGTCTAAGATGTTGGCAGAGCAAAGCAGAGTTTGGGAAGATGCCGA